TTGTAATGGAAATGTGGACTCGGTCCAGAATACTAGGATACAGAAAGGATCTTCGTATTGTCCGCATAACGCCCTGGATTACTAACTGTTATAACTTCTCCACTATTGTTCCTTTTGCTATTATCATGTCTTTGTGATCATATATAACAACTATTTAATGAATTACAATGTGAAATTTGTGCTACATGGAGTTTATTAAACGCAAGGACAAGGCCTAATCCTCGACCTAAAACCTTATTAAAGTGATGAAAATATCGGAATCATAAACACGTACGTGCGTGCAACACTAAAAAATAATTGGGGCTTAAAAATCTCACACTTTTTTATTTTTTTTTAAATGAAACTTTTATAAAGGGCCAACAGGTTATGTAGGATACATATGGACTTTGGAAATTCAAACCCTTCAAGGGCTTCATACAGAACAAAATTTTTATCTCAAAATGTTTTTCAAAATGTTATTGCAACAGATGGAAAGACTGCTTGTGCCTCAATAAAAAATTATAAGTTGGTACCAGATAAATAAAAAGTATGGAATGAAAGGTTTCTTGCTTGAACTATTTATTTTTTGAAAAAAAAAACTAATTGATGAATGATAAAGTACTATAAAAATATAGTTTTATCAAACATAAAATTTTTCGAAATTTTTGTTTTTTTTTTTTTTGTTTTTGAGTTCTACAAATTTTTTTATTTCTTTACATGGCAACTCACTATAAAACCATTTTTCGCGTGAAGGTCATGATCTAATGATTACAACTATCTACTTTAGTTAATTTTTTCAAGAAAATGCAATTTTGACAAAAAATCGCTCAAAAACAAAACAAAACAAAATTTCGTTCTGAAAATACGATCACATTTTTTATATTACTTTAATTTATATTAATTATTATTTTCTGGAGACTTATGATTTAAAAAAAAACCGCTGGGTTCCGCACATACAAAAATTATACAGGGTGAATATATAAAATTCAACAAATTTTTTTGCAACTTTAGAAATTTTTTTAAGGTGACATGTTCGAACACTTCCTTAGTCTCCTCAACTCTCTTTTGCAGCACGATGTTTAAATATGAGTATTTCTCATTACTCATTTCTCTAAGAAATTTTTAAAAGTTTTTTAAAAATTTGAAAATTTTTTGAGCCGGACCTGTTTTTTGAACCCCACCTGTTTTTTGTAGCCAGATATTTTGAAACGTCTCAAGTGACATCTTTTTTAACAAAAATAAAACTCTTGGACAAATCCTATAAGATTTGATCACAATGGCTAAATTTTTTATACAAAAAAAAACCATCTCTTATATTTAAAAACAGTTGCTGTGGAAAAAAAATTGTTTCTTTATTTTCTTACTAACAAAAATGTAATCATTTTTTTTTACAAAAGACAAAACAGTATGTATTATAAATATCGCATCTGAGAAACTCAAAAACAGCAAATAGGTAAGTGGTGAAATAAAAATGATAAATGGTTAGTAATACTAAAAATCAAAAAACAAAAATTAAAATGTTACCTCTGACATAACTTCAACAAAAAATAAAAACCTAATGATTACCCAAAAAGCTTTGACTGTCTTCTATCCAATTTTTTTAAGTTTTTATCCAAAATGTCACAAAAGTGACTCTTTTATGACTAAATGACACCTTTATATCGGTGTCATTTAACGTAATTTGCAGTGATGCCAGCTCAGAAAAATAAAATTAACCAGATCCGAGTTGAATTTTTATCAGATTACAAGATTCAAATTTTTCTAATACATAGTACGTTTTTTTTACATTAACCCAATGGTTAAAGCCTAAAAGTTAGTTAGTTTTTTTTGTAACAATTTAATGATTTTTCACTCAGTATGGCAAAATCGCATGAAAAAATTGAGTTTATCAAAAAATGTCACAAAAGTGATTAGTTTTGATAACTAAATGTCACAAGTAAAAATTTTACTTTGCAGGCATGGAGTATAAATTCTGTTTTTTTGCTAAAGCATTTTCACTTTTACTATGACGTTTTGAAATGTTGTCTCTTTCTTGTCTTTTTCGCTGCTTCGCAGGAGAGTTAAGTATGTATATTGAAAGCAAGATTACTTTCTTAATACACAACAAAATTTCAAATGTTTACATCAAAACAAATTTTTTTTAATTCTACAGACCGATACGTTGCCATTTTTTTTAAATAAACTCCTTAAACCCCACTTTTTACATTTTAATAGATGATTTGATAGTTATAAAAGAGTTATGAACAGAAATTATTACGTTACAAAAATAAACATGTTTTACATAGTAACATAGTATTTTTAGAAGTCATTTTTTGAGTAAAAAATTACTCATTACTTGGGATCAATAAAAAACAATTTTAAATTTTGTGTTTATTTTAAATAAATTGTGTTAATAGATAAATAAATCATGCAAAAAATAACCCAGAAACAAAAAATTAATTAAAAAAAAGCTCTAGACAAATTAAGTGTCTAACAAGTTTTTACTTAACAAATAGAAAAAAAGTTTGTATGATGTTGACCAAATTGCAAACATCGTTTCTAAAATTTTTGTGTACTTCCACAGGATCATTATAAATGTTTGTAGTCAATGTAGGCTTGTACTTTGGTTTTTGCCGTTCTATTTCAAACGTGAAACAAACGTAGAAACCCATACAGTTGTAAACAGTAATATAAAGCGAAACACGGCAAATTTTACTTTGAAACCAACTTGAACTACAAACATTTCTAATAACCCTGTATAAACTTTCGGTTTTTTTAAATTGGTAATATATCAATAATTGATTCATATTTGAATTACCGCTTTTATTTAAAAATTATTTGCTTTTTTTCAAGCAGAAGTTTATTAGAAAATGACACTACAAGCCATGTAACATAATAATTTTTTTGTGTGTGCCTCAAAATTGGAAATTTTAAATTAGAAACAAGGGAATACAAAAAAATAAAACTCCAAATAAGTTGTTTTGTAATAATGATGTGCATCGTGTGGTAGTTTTATTTCTTTCCGCCTTACTTTTTCTTTAATTGAATATTTTTTTACATTTTATTCTTTTTGTTTTTTTTTTTAATAAACAACAATATTACAAGTCAATTTAATTGTATCAAAGTTTAATAAAGTTAATGGACCATTTTCAGATGCAATTAGGCGACTGATCTGCAAATTCAAATAACCCCCTTACATCGAACTGTAATCTTCGTGTTTGTAAATCGCATTGATTAAATAGTACACAACAGTCATAATTGGCTTATCGTGCTTATGATGAAAGATAAGTCGGCTTATGTTCACTCATAGGCATGGGGTAGTTCTCTCCTGCACCCCGTTTTACTAGATATATTAGCTAGAAATTGCATCTGACACAAGCAATATTATCAACGAGTCAAATGCATTTAGCATTGCAATTCGTATGTTTCTTATTTCGATAAAATCGATTAATCGAAATAAAATCGAATGTTTTTTTAAACGTCGTAAATTCTTTTCGCTCTCCACATGTCAGCTTGTTAGTGCCCTCTCATCACACCCTTATTTTTGGGGCTAATCGTACCAAAACGTTGACGGTGTCGTTGAGTTTGTAAGTATTTAGTATTCAGATAACGCGCTCTGCTGCGCTCATGCATATTCATCAAGCGGTAATTAATCATCAGTCCGGGGAATAGGGTGGAAACACCCTCCATAGAGACTGCGCCCTTATAATGTCATATTATGCAAGTTGCTACACTTGCTACCAACAATTTCGAACTAGTTTTAATCATCACAAAATTACCCCCACTGAAAAACAATTTTTTTTTTGGATTCGTGCGGCTTTCGCTCGCAACAATGAAGGGCTTTAAGGAAGTTTTGGCAGAAAAGGGTGCGTCCTTGATTTGAATACAAAGCAGTTTTCATTTGAAATGCAAAACTTGGGAATAATATTCAGGCAATTCAGTAAAATAAATAAAGCTTTAAATACATTTTGCATAAGTTAATTATGAGTTATTATGAGGATACAGCAGCGACAACAAAATTAACTCGCTCGAGAGGTTTCTCCAGCTTTTTCGAAAATGTAAGTGGAAAAGAGAAAGGAACGGTTTGCGTCTAGGCACTCTTGGCACGGATTGCAATCGTTTATGTTACGGAGACAAATCTTCGGATTACAAAGCATTAACTTTAAATTATTATTGTAAACATATCTAAAGTTGATATTCAGAAAACTGCTCTCACCTCGCCTAAGCACTTTTTCAAGCTTTTTAAAGCAAAATTTTAACAAAAATTGGCTCAATTTATGAATATTAAAAGAACAAATAATAATAAAAAAAGCAAAACAAAAAATGTTATGTATTGTCCACCTAAAATTGATAAGTTTTATGCAACCCGCCATGCACGGCTGTATTGTGTGTTGCCGATCATTAAAATCTTTATGCTACTTTTTGTTTATTAGACTTTAGCATACATTACAATATTACAAACCGTTCTTGTCATTGTTTTATCACTAAGGGTGAGTCAGAATTTATAAAATAAATTTTATCACATGTAACCTATCCTAAAACAACAAAAACATGTTTTAATAACATTGATTGTTGATGTTGTGTGTTTAATTTTTTACTCATTTTGTATTTATGTACTTACAATTAATTTGTTAATGCAACAGTTTATAATGGTTGTGATTCTCATAATTGTTCTAAATTTTTGTATATTTATGGATGTTTCATTTATCGCATAACTGATTTTTATATTTAGATGTTTTTTATTTAAATGGTTCAAAAGTTACGAAAACAATTGATAACATTTCACTCTAAATTATTCGCGATATCTCAATAAATAAAAAAATTCAAAAAATGGTGGCACTGGATGAAATTCAAATATGGCGCGCGAGTTGGGTCCAATAACACATCTTTGTCGTGTTTTATATTAGTTACACTGTAGGGTACAATAGTTGTGTCAATTGTTTTAGTAATGTAAATTAAGAGCAATATTTTTTAAAAATTATTATCTGAAACTCGTGTAAAATGTAAAATATTTTGGTTTATAGTAAAACGTGATTTGAGCAACACAGTATCCGATCTTTGCCGAGGCGGGCCGATGGTCAATAAAAGCCAAAGAAAACGCAAAATAAGTCAGCTGTATTGACGCTTGAGTGACGTGAAAGAATATTCAAGAAGATTACTGACAAACAACACAAAATTATTGTGATTTATCTTCTTTAAAATGAAGATATTGATCCTCGTAGCGCTTGTGGCGTTTTTCGGTAAGTTTCACCAAGTACTATCATTGATCTGATCTATTTTGTTGTTGTTTACGAATCTTATCTGACATTTCATCTAACAATTATTTAAATAATTTATTAAAATCAATCCTTGAAATATGAGTAAACCAGTAATATGATTGATTATACGAATGAGTCACTTATTTTCTATGCCAGACATGTGATTTGATAAATAATAGTGGATCAAGGGTGAACCCCACAATTTCCTGTGTTCTTCTTCATTTGCAAATTTGAGATTAAATTCCATCACGTTGGATTTTTTTAAGACAATGTCTTTGTTTTGGCAAACTTTGGCACCCAAACGTGTTTATTTACGATCTTATTATCTAAAATTAAACCTCAATTGCGACGTGATTTGCAAATTGTTGACAGAGATAAATAAATCACTAATTAAAAATGTGGGGAAAATAATCGGTTCGTAAATAGTCACTTTCACCTTGAAATATGGGAAGCACACACGACTTTAAATTTGTACGCTCGATTAGCACAAAAGGGGAAAACAAACCAAAAATTAATTAAATTATAAATGGGGGTCGTAATAAAATCGAGACGAAATGCCATGACTAAAATACCATAAAAAATTAAATTATCACCAGTTAGTCATAACTATAAAATCGTGACTAACATTTAAAGCTTTTGTTTAAATATATTCTCAATAAAATTAAAGTTTGTTTTTTAGCGTTGGCACCGCTAGCAAATTCATTCGTGGTGATTTTATTAAAAGAAGTTGGCACTTCCGGTTTTCGTCATTACGTCTAAGAAAATTTAGAGACAAAAACAAACAAAATTTAAGGGTTCATACCCAATTTTTTCACTAAAATTTTGACTTGGTGATTTCCGTTTAAAAAAAAAAACAAATTATCTCTTCAAGCGATTAGTTGCTAAATAAATACCTATCATATTTGTTTAAATCATGGTCGGGTCATTATTTACATTCATTAATCAGTAATTTTTTTATGAAATCATTACTTAACGTTCTATTGATTTTAGCCTTCACAAGCGGAGTCTTCGTCCCTCCCCGTCCTGGACATAAGCGTTTGGTTGATTCAAAAGAATGCACATGGGGACCTTCATATTGGTGTCAGAATTTAACGTAAGTTGCAGTGTTGATAGCCCAGAAAAATAAAATTCTCCAGATTTGAGTTGAAAAAGTTGCCAAATTTACATCAGTTTTTACCAGATTGCAAGATTCCAATTTAGATCTTTACAATAGTGTCGAAAGATTACGTTTTTTTTACATTGAGTTTATCCGCAAACGTCATTAAAGTGACCACTTTTACGACTAAATGTCACAAGTTTTTAACTTTCAGCCATGGAGTAAAATTTCTATTTTTGCGCCTAAGCGTTTTTACTTTTACTATGACATTATTGACAGTAATGCATACGACATTTTGTACTACTAACTGCACTAGTTGAATTAATATACATTTTCGAAAATCTCAACGATACTGACGCGTGATGTTTATAAACGTTGTTATGATTTCATTACTTGCAAAGCGTTCTGATTATTTATTAAGTGTTGCTCTTTACTCTAAATCTGAATACTATTTCAGCTACTTAAACTATCGAAAAAGGCAAAAATGGCATTATTTTCTAATTCTGTTGTTTTTCGGAATGTTTTTAAGAAAATTTTGCGAAATGATTGTGTTTCTAGCTGAGAAACGTGCTAAAACGCTAATGAAATGCAAAAATAATAATTTTCGATTTTGTTTGTCTAATTTTTGGTTTGTTTTATCGAAATTTAAAAAAAAAATTAGATTTTAGTACAAAAACGTGTTTTAAAGCATTGAAAGCATAATTTTCGAATTTATTTGTTTAATTTTTGGTTTGTTTTATCGAAATTTTGCAAAAAAAAACTCAGATTTTAGTACAAAAATGTGTTTTAAAGCATTTTGACCAATTTTTTTAGTTTCTCGGCTTATTTGTGTCTTAATGTTGCTCCAAAACCACTTAAATCAAGGAAACAAACAAAATTTTTTGGTTTTTGATTTTTTGGAGCGTTTGGACAAGATTTTACATAATAAATGAATTTCTGGTTTAAAAAGAAAATAAGTCCAACTAAACAAATTAGAAAAAAATATATCAATTTTGATTTAATTATGTGATATTTTAGCCGGTTTAAGGGAAATTTTTCGTTTTTTTTTTTGTTTTATTTCAAAAACTTGCTTAAACACTTAAAAAAGATATACATACCACCATTTTTGGTTTATTTTATTGAATTTTTGGTTTATTTTATTGAATTTTTGGTTTGTTTTTAACGAAATTTTGTACAATAATTCTGTTTCTAGCTGAAAAATGTAAAAAAAGTATGCTATTTTCTTTTAGTAAAATCTCGTTTTTTTTTTTTTAAACAATTTGTCTAATCAACCAAGTTTTTAGTTTACTATATCGATAATTAAAAAAAATCAGTATATTAATTTTTTTGTAACCACGGTAGTTTTTTTTATAAAACACCTCTTTACTCTAAATCTGAATACGTTTACGAATAAAAAAGTTTTGTTGTTCCGAGTAAAAGTGAGTTTATGTAAAAATTTGTCTCAAAAATAAACGTTCAGCTTTGTCATATAAACTATCACTTTTACTCCTAATAACATGATATACTATTTCAGCTACTTAAACTAACGAAAAAAGACAAAAATGGCATTATTTTCGGTCTAATTCTGTTATTTTTCGGCATGTTTTTAAGAAAATTTTGTGAAATAATTGTGTTTCTAGCTGAGAAACGTGCTAAAACGATAGAGAAATGCAAAAATAATATAATTTTCTAATTTATTTGTCTAATTTTTGTTTTTTTTATCGAAATTTTGCAAAAAAAAAGCTTGAGTCTTTAGTACAAAAACGTGTTTTAAAGCATTTTCGACCATTTTTTTTAGTTTCTCGGCTTATTTTTCTCTTAATGTTGCTCCAAAACCATTAAATCGAGGAAAACAAACAAAATTTTTTGGTTTTTGATTTTTTGGAGTGTTTGGACAAGATTTTACACAATAAATGAGTTTCTGGTTCAAAACAAAAAAAGTCGAACGAAACAAATTAGAAAAAAATATC